CCAGCAAGCTCAGCAGGGAGCTGCCATAAAACAATGAAAACCCCTCTTCAGTGTGCAGTGGCAATGAGCAAAGGAAATAATGTGTCAGTCTGCATAAGGAACCAGAGACAAAATAATGCTGAAAGTATTAAAAGGCCATTATTATGACGGCACTAGGTGTGGTTCCATATTTAAGGCTGAATTAAGGTTTACACCTAATCTGGGGATTCACTTCTTTGTTATGTATGAAATATATAGTTTATCATCCTCTGAAATTACACCATGTACTCTAAGTATAAAATGACTTTTCTGAGCGCTAACAAGTAAATCTGTTAATTAGTTTAGGAATTAAGAGTAATTAAACATTGGTCCATCAAGAAATTTAATATGCAATGTCAGAGGGTGTTTTTCCACCCTTAATGATCTCAGTAACAGAACACAGTATTACAGACTCTTCAAACTTCCTATATAGCTAAAATTCACTAAAATCCTATGCATCAGCTACATCTGAAGAATTTGTTTTAGGATTATTGCTCAGGTTTCTCCATAACTCTTCATAGCTTAAGTTCCTCTTCACCTCTTCAGGCTAAAGAATATTCTATTACAGAAGATTATATAAAGAGCTGCCTTCTTTTAATATGTCTGCCATCTTCCATTATTCTCAGTGGGAGAGAAGCCCCAACTCCTCTCAGTTGGAGGACATTTTGAGAAAGCTCTTCATCTGAGTGTCTCTGCCTTCTCACAGCATAGGGGCCAACATCTTCCTTGGGGGCAACTGTCTATATTTTTCCATGGCATTTCCATTCTTTTCATAGATTCCAAGGTCGGTGATCATCTAGTTTGACATCCTTTGTAACACAGACCTCAGAACTTCCTCAAAAATTTTGACATGTTTGGATTACTTTTATGTTTAACTCTAAATTTCCTGGGTTTTTAATTTTTTCGTTTCGGTTACTGATATACACTCTTAACATAGTTTTTCTCTGGGAATATCAAATGCTCTAAAACATCACATTGAATTCAATGTATAGTTCTGGTTGCTCCATCTCTCAAAAGGAGGAAGCCAGAGATGGGCAGTGAAAATGACTAGAGGCCTGGAAAGCATATAATTGGAGACTAAATAATCCAATATGCTTGTGACGGGTTCGGTCACAGAAACCCCCTTGGGACTGCCACCTGATGTGCTGAGACTACCTCTGAGCCCATTTTCTCTGCCAGTTTGGGCCTCCAGAACACTGCCTTGTTGAGCCAGACATGCCAGTCTGCTCCAACACAGACCCAGGGTCTGAACCACGCACCCCAAAACTGCAGACTAAACTGAAAACAGCTTAAGAAGTGCTCCTGTCTCTAGCACCCAGACACCCAGCTCCCAATGGGGTCCAAACCCCAAATAAATCCATTTTACTCTGTATAAAGCTTATACAGTGTAAAGTCATGAACTGTCCGCCCTCTATAACACTGATAGAGAGATATGCACAGCTGTTTGCTCCCCCAGGTATTACTTACTTATTCTGGGTTAATTTACAAGCAAAATTGATTTTATTAAATATAAAAAGTAGGATTTAAGTGGTTCCAAGTAATAACAGACAGAACAAAGTAAGTTACCAAGCAAAATTAAAAAAAAACACGCAAGTCTAAGCCTAATACATTAAGAAACTGATTACAGATAAATCTCACCCACAGAGATGTTCCCATAAGCTTCTTTCACAGACTAGACTCCTTTCTAGTATGGGCCCGATCCTTTCCCCTGGTACAGTCCTTGTTCCAGCTCAAGTGGTAGCTAGGGGATTTCTCATGACTGCAGCCCCCTTTGTTCTGTTCCACCCCCTTATATAGCTTTGGCACAAGGCAGGAATCTTTTGTCTCTCTGGGTCCCCACCCCTTCTTCTAAATGGAAAAGCACCAGGTTTAAGACGGATTCCAGTACCAGGTGTCATGGTCACATGTCCTGTGAGGCCCCAAGCCTTCATTCTTCCTGGCCTGACTCACAGGAAGGCTTGCAAGTAAACAGAGCCATTTACAACCAATTGTCCTCGTTGATGGGAGCCATCAAGATTCCAAACCACCATTAATGGTCCACACTTTGCATAATTACAATGGGACCTCAGAGTTATATTTCATATTTCTAGTTTCAGATAGAAGAATGATACATTTATACAAATTGGATGACCACACTCAGATTTATAAATTTTGTAATGATACCTTACAAGAGACCTTTTGCGTGAAGCATATTCCAGTTACATTATATTCACATTCATATGGAGAGCAATGTCACAATGCTTTTTTTTTTTTTAGTTTAGAAAGGAGACTGCCCTGTAGAGCCACCATAAAGAGAAAAATATGAAAAAACTGATGTCTTTAAAAGTCAGTTTAATATAATCTGGGACCAAAATCACTAAAATGCTTTAATCATAATTGTATGGTTATTGCATGGTGTCACTAAAGGGCAGAGGTAAGGGTGTTTAGGTGCCTTCATTATTCATTTCTGTACTTAATATGTTTATATTTCTTTTAACTCTAACATTAACTCTAACTATACATAAAGGAGATTTCTTCCACTTCAGTTTAATCTAAGGTGTCTTGCTCACTGACATACAGACAGTCAAATCCAGGAAATTCAGAGTTAAGGTTAAACTTTAAAAAAGTCAAAACATGCTAAGTTATGGAACTGCACAATTAGATAGTGACATGATGAGAAGAAAAAGAAATTAGTGTCTTTAAACATCAGTTCCATCTAAAGTAGGATGAACTTATAATTAAATTATACATTTAATTTGGTACAAGCAAATTTCAATTTAACATTATTCCCCATTTGAGTTCCTTGGAGATCTTATTTTTACTCCAGAACCATAAAACTGTTTTAAGAACTATGGAAAGTTGCTAGGGTTAAGGCTGATGACAATGTGGCTATGAACTGTATTATTTATAAAACCCAAGCACTTCATCAGAGCAATTAAAAGTTAAGGATGTAATAAATCTTATATTGTAATAATATGTAATAAATCTTATATTGCCTACATGAGAAATAGCAACATAGAGGATGAGATCCACTCCATTTGCACATACAAACTGTATGCAGATGGAATGCGAAGAGTCTGAGGAGCTATAATGTTGACAAACTCAACCCAACTCAGGGCCAGCACACAGAGCTGCTACACAGTTCCCTTTCCACCAGGCTGTGGGCTAGAATAGTGGCAGCAGTGCCTCTGCACTGGTGGTGTGGTATTGGCAGAGAGAATTTTTCCACATCAAATAGAGTTTGCACAGCTACTTCCGCCCTCTGTGAGGATGAGTTGGTGTACAGGACTTTGTGACTTTCACCCATTATTTGATGCCATACAGAGAAATGTATATGTCAATAAAACATAGCAACTTTAATTCTGAGCCAAGGATTTGTGTCACGTTGGTATAGGTATCTAATCATTTTAAAGTAAACAATTAGATGAAAAATTAGTCTGCAGAAGACAAGAGTGAGGGGGGATTTGATAGCAGCCTTCAACTACCTGAAAGGGGGTTCCAAAGAGGATGGAGCTAGGCTGTTCTCAGTGCTAGCAGATGACAGGACAAGGAGCAATGGTCTCAAGTTGCAGTGGGGGAGGACTAGGTTGGATATTAAGAAAAGCTACTTCACTAGGAGGATGGTGAAGCACTGGAATGGGTTACCTAGGAAAGTGGTGGAATCTCCATACTTAAGAGATTTTTAAGGCCTGGCTTGACAAAGCCTGGCTGGGATGATTTAGTTGGGATTGCTCCTGCTTTGAGCAGGAAGTTGAACTGATGACCTCCTGAGATCTCTTCCAACCCTAATCTTCTATGATTCTGTGAAATGTTGCTAGTTACTATATTTATCAATTGGCAAATGGAATTTTTTGGGTACGTTACTTATAATGGCTGTTTCTTGAGAATAATGTAGAAGTAATTTAATAGAAAAAGTGCATTACATTGTCAGTTTATGGTAAAATTATGTATGCATGTGGGATTACATTTGATCAATTTGTACGATTAATGGGATGATATAAATTCAGATAAGATAAAAATTCTGGTTCAGCAGGGAAATAAGATGTCTTAAGAGTAACCATCTTAGATGGTTTTGGGGCTATTAGTGATTCACGTTTCACATTAACTGCCACCTTGCTGAATGCTGGTAAGTTAAGAAAAACAGAGGCAAAAATGGGAGAAAAGTTATATGAATGAGGCAGAAAATCAGCTGGGAGCTCTGGAAATTGAACAATATAGCTTCTGGGGTAGCAAATCACAAGATCTGTGTTAATGGGTTCTGTGTGAACATGCCTCTCCCTAAGCAAACACAAGCTGGAAATACAAACATTTCCCTAACAGAATCTGTTTCTGAGTAATTTTTAAAAATTTGCCAGCTTCATCTTTGAACTAATTTTTAACCAACAAAACTGTACAAAGGGATCCTTGAAATGATACTAACATCTGCAGGCAGCCTGCCTCTGGTTCCCTCCTGCTGCCCATCTTCCACGCTGCAACCCATCCCAACTCCCTGCTAATGCCCAGCCCAGGCTCCAGCATCCTCTGTGGCCCTTTCCCTGGCCCCACAGAATCTTTGCCACTCACACAGCGATTAAGGATTAAAAAAACCGAAACCCTAATAAATTTAGTCAAAATGCAATCAAAATTCTGTTGTGTGAACAGATAAGTGGGGGGCCCCATAACATCACTGAATTTCACACATTTTGCAAAAATTACCAAGTAAGGGTTTAAATTCATTTACAAAACAAGAATACATCACAAAATGTAGCCTGGTCATTTATTTAACAAGTGTAGTTTGGTTTCAGGATACATCAGAGAATGCTAATACATGGTGTATAGAATATTTAGTAAAAGTAATTGTCAGTAATATGAAAGCCAGTCAAGCTAAATTTAACTCAAAGGAATACTTACATCCTGGACAGTGTCTTTAATAGCCTGAACTGATGCAAGAAAGGTTTAATTAAAAGAAAAATGGGGCAAACCTTTTCAGAAAATGACATACACACTCTCTCTCCATTTTCTAGAATGTTACACTGCAAATGGGGCGGACTATCGGGGCACTCAGAACCAAACCTCCCTGCATGCGGGGAGACCTTGTCTCTTTTGGAATGAGACTTTCCAGCATCCTTACAATACCCTGAAATACCCCAATGGAGAGGGAGGGCTTGGAGAGCACAACTACTGCAGGTAAGGAGTAGTCTCACTGCTACTACCATTGTATGCCCAATATTTCTTTAGCCCTTTGACACAAAACTTAAAAGCTGATGGAATACAATGGAGGGTGCCCTGACTGTCAAAACAATGGCAATTAAACAGACATGTTTACATCCCACCATCAGAATTGTTGGGGTTGGTCCTGCTTTTAGCAGGGGGTTGGACTAGATGACCTCCTGAGGTCTCTTCCAAACCTAATCTTCTATGATTCTATGATCCATTCCCTTTACCCTGGCCACAGCAGGTAGGTGCAAGCAGCTTTAGCATAAAGATGCATGTCAGCATAGCTCTTCAGTCCACATCACAAACCAGCTACAGGCTGGCATAAGAGAGAATGATTGGCCATCCCTTCAGAAAGGTGTCTAAAACAATAGCGCTTGCTTTATGTCAGGTGTAAAGAGCATTGGGTGGATGATTTGAACATCACTCCTGGTTCTCTTTCTGCCTGGATCCCTTGGACACTATACCTCAGTCCCTTGTGTTTATGAAAACTAAATCATTCTCAATGAATTAGAATTGTGATTTAATTTCAGTTTAAAATCTAAAGTTAAGTGTTTAGAGTGCTGGTCTGGGGCTCAGGAGACCAACATTCAATTTCGTGCTCTGCCACAGATTTCTTGAGTGCTGTTGGGCAAGTTACTTTGTGCATGTATGCCTCAGTTCCCTATCTCTAAAAGGGGGTTAATAGCACTGCCCTCCCTCACAGGGGTGGGGGTGGAGGATAAATACAGTAAAGACTGCGAGGCACTCTGATACTATGGTAATGGAGGCCATATTAAGTGCTTTTGATATCTATAGATAAGCTAAGTATGGTGTAGTCTGAAACGTGCAAGTACCGGTACCACTGGAATGGTGTAACCGCATACACGTAATGGGTGTGAGGTCATGGAGGAATTCACTTTGTTGAGCAAAATGGCATCCTCCTCACAGCATGACCTTGCAAAAGTGCTGAAATGGCATTTTGGCTGCAGTACACCCAATGTACTATATAGAAGAGCATACACCTATACAAAAGCTTCCCTGTCAACACAATCCTGAAACACCTTCTGACTCCTGGTTTCAGGGACTTAACAGTGGAGCAGGGCCAGTTGACTGAAAGAGAAAAATCTTATTTTTAGACTGTCTGATTGAGACCGCTGGATGCTCAGTGAATGTAAAACGTTTTTTCCAAAATGACTAAGGTCCAAAGTCTGTGGTCCTCACTCCTTAATTTAGTATGTGAGCCATAGAACTGATGTTTAAAATGATACTCTTGGTTAGGGATTTGTTATGTTTGTTTTTGGCTTCTTAAATGCAAAAGATATTCTTTTTATTTGTAACACCATAGTTGTTGAGATTGTTTGTTTGTTTTTTAAGATTTTCAGTGCTTTTAATACTGATCAGTACTGAGACAATTCCCTGCAGGGTGTTAGGGATAAGATGTAAAGCCAAGAGCTTGGCTACTTGAAAGTTTTGGGGGCTGTTAGTCTCAATGTCCTCACCAAATTTCACCTTGGGTAATTACATTCTGCTAACCTCAAGTCAATCCCTTTTCTAAATAGCCATTCTATGTGCCTGCTGCATTCCACCCCACCAGTGATTGCATTTCAGTGGTGAGGGAAGTTACCTATATCTTTCTTACCTATCTCATATCTGCTATTTGGACTGGTGAGGCTTAATTAATTATTATTTACTATTTTGTAGCACCCAGCACACTTTTGGGCACTTCACAGACAAATAGAAAGACAGTTCACTCTCTGAAAGAGCTTATAATTTTAATAAGACCAAGTTGTGACAAGGGAACAAAAAACATAGGGAGAAGGCACATGAACAGGGTTATGAATACAGGATAGTGGCATTACTTGGGGTTGTGTATGTAAAACAAATCGATACAAAATGAAAACAATTTCAGTAATTTTATGTTGAATAGGGATATGGGTGGACAAGGAGTGGATTAGACCTAGGGGAAAGAGAAAACGTGTGGGGAGAAGAATCAGACTGGGTGATGGGAAAGGAGAAGGGTGGGATGGGGCAGTGGGAAGCTAAGGACAAGAAGGCACAGACAAGAGAAATGGTGACACACATAGCAGAGAAAAGTAAAGATTGAAGAAATACTCCCATTCCTAATATCATGGATTTATGTGAAAGCTCAATGGGGTGTGGTTGGAGAGTCCCAATAGAGGCTGGGGCGGTGTGGTAGCCACACTCACACCCAATACCTTTGTCTAGGGCTGAGATGGCACCACGAGGTAGGTCTTTTTTGTACTGCCATGAGTACTTGTTTCATAGATTACAAGTCCAGAAGGGAAGCCTGTGATCTTCTACTCTAACCAACTGTATAATACAGGCCACAGGACTTCACTGAATTAATTCCTGTTTGAATTTAAAAAAATCCCATCTTGATTTTAAAATGGCCAGTGATGGAGAATCCACCACACCCATGGTAAATCCTTCCAACAGCTAATTACCTTCACTGTTAAAAATGTGTGCCTTATTTCACATCTGAATTTGTCTAGCTTCAACTTCCAGCTGTTGGACTGTGTTATACCTTTCTCTGCTAGAAAGAAGAGCCCATTATTAAATATTTCTTCCCCATGTAGGTACTTATAGACTGTAATCAAGTTATCCCTTCACCTTCTCTTTCTTAAACTAAATAGATTGAGCTCCTTGAGTCTATCCTATAAGGCAGGTTTGCTAATCCTTTAATTATTCTCATGGGTCTTCTTTGAACTCTCTCCAATTTTTCAGCATCCTTCTAGTTTGGTGGCCACCAGAACTGCACACACAAAAAACCTGGATGTTCTGTCCCAGAACAGTCCAGAAACCCATTAAACATATGTACCTTCAAGCCCACTAATGTCAGACTAGTGCACTATCAGGGGGAGTGGCCTCCAAAGGCTTTGGTTGTTCAACAGAAACTCCATGTGGCATCCTCGTAGCCCTCTCCATGACATACAGTGCGAGAAGCAACTTCTCAGATTACTACACAGCCAGAAAGGGTGAGAGGCCATGGAAAAATCTGCAGTGCAAAGGTTTGGTATCTTGTTGGAATTGTAGGCCATCATTTTAAAAGATGATGGGCTCTTTGGTCTTGCTTATATGCTAGGGGACTGTGTAATGGAGTATGCTATGGGAGTCAGTTTGCAGTGGTGAGTTGTGACTATTTTAGGAAGCACCATCTCTCTCTCTCTCATATATGTTGCATCCTTCCAGCAGACATCATTTATGTTTTTATCTAATTTCTCTGTATGCCATGAAATATAACAAAAACAATCAGAAACTATGACACTGTTATAGGCCCCACTCAGTGTATTCTTATTAACAGCTTTGGCAGTCATTTTTGGCCATAGGACATGGATGCTAATGGTGAGACCTTTGTCCTCTAATGTACAAAGTAAGGTTGTGAATGTTATGAAACTTCTCAGGAAGCTCAGAAGAGTACCGGTAATATACTGACGGGGCAAGATTCTAACAATCAATTTACGTAAATACCCATCATTGCTATCTCACCTAACTCACCAAAATAGCTTCTGGTGACTGTTAGCCAGAGAAAGAGCCCTGTGATCTAGAACGTGAGCCCCAGGAATTTGACTAAGTTGCCAAATATAGCCTTTTTTATGAAAGCCTGCTCAGCTGCTGCTTTCCTCCTCACAATGGAGTGTGACTGGAATGTCAGAGCCATTTTTCTTCACTGGTTAGATCACTATGCTGAGAAATAGCCTTGCAGGTATGTTGAAGGAGGATTGATGGACGCTTTTGAAAACTATAGTCTCTTGGAAAATAGCTTTGATAATCACTGTGACTCAGGATACCTGAGTTCTGTTCCTTGCTCTGTCACTCATTTGCTGGGTGACAATGGATAAATCACTCCTTCCCTCCACTAACCTACCTCGTGTGAGTGTTTTGAGGTTACATTTCTTAATGTTTGGGAAGTGTTTTTGAGTTCTCTGGATGAGAGGTGCTGTAAAAGTGAAAAGGCTTATTATATCCTTAGTCAGAAAAATGCTAGGTCCCACAATCATACCCTATTTGCAATATTTCTCATACTTTATTTGTATACAAAGAGAGAAAATGTTTCATTACACAGTATCCTTATAACATGGAAATTCTTTGATTTCAAGGTTAGAAGGGACCATTGTGATCCTCTAGTCTGACCAACTGTATTGCACAGACCACACAACTTCCCCAAAATAATTCCTAGGGCATAGCTTTTAGAAAAACATCTGATCTTAATTTAAAAACTCATCAGTGATGGAGAATCCACCATGCCCCTTAGTAAAGTGTTCCAGTGATTAATTACTCTCTCTGTTAAAAAAGTATCCCATACTGTCTAGCTCAGTGGTTCTCAAACTGTGGGTCGGGACCCCTAAGTGGGTTGCAACCCCATTTTAGTGGGGTCACCAGGGTTGGTGTTAGACTTGCTGGGGCCAGGGGCCAAAGCCCAAGACCAAGCCCCATCATCTGGGGCCAAAGACTGAGCCCCATTGCCCGGGGTCAAAGCTGAAGCCTAAGTCCCATCGTCTGGGTCCAAAGCCCAAGGACTTCATCCCTTAGTGGCGGGACTCAGGTCACAGGCTTCGAGCCATTGGATCACATCTCTTTGCTTGACTGAAGAGTCCTCTTATCAGAGATCTGTTCCCCAGGTAGGTATAATGAGCTCAATGGAGGGCTGGTCTGAATCGGAGCACTAAAGAGAGGCAGATGCAACCTAGAGGCCAAATTGTGTTTTATCTCAATCAGTTGGGGTAAAGTACAAATCAATTAAGTGGTAAGTAATCACAAGTAAATCAGAGTAGGTTGTTTTAGGAGGAACTACTACTTAATCTTACACTGTAAATTAATACTGTTATCTACTGTATATTAACTACTATTATCCTAATTAAATTCACTTTATAGGTAACAATTTACATGTATGAAATAAAAGAATTTTGAATTAGGAAAATACAATGCACTAGAACATAAACCCTGTTGCTGTATGTTCCCTTTTCAGTTTCCTGGTTGCCAACCTCTGTAAGCCCAGAGTTTGGAGGGAAAGTTCTTAGGATGTTTAGTTATATTTTGAGCGATGACTATGGTGCAATCTTTGTTTACTGTTTTGATTTCCAGCATAAGTACATACATGTATTTCTTGATGTGATCTGTTGGCTTCTTGATTGAACAATTATATCTCTGCTTCTTTCTGGTTTACAGTCCCTTTGCTCTTTGACAATTTCTCTATTTCTGTCACTTCACTTTGTATACCTTAAGATGCTGTCCAGATGTTTTTACAGACCTTACTGTTTTTCTCTGAAAACATCCACTCAATGTGCAGTGGCAGTCAAAAAAGTGGCCAGAATGTTGGGAATCATTAAGAAAGGGATAAATAATAAGACAGAAAATATCATATAGCCTCTATATAAATCCATGGTTTGCCCATATCTTGAATACTGCGTGCAGATGTGGCCACATCTCAAAAAAGATATATTGGAATTGGAAAAGGTTCAGAAAAGGGCAACAAAAATTATTAGGGGTATGGAGTGTCTGCCATATGAGGAGAGATTAATAAGACTGGGACTTTTCAGCTTGGAAAAAAGATGACTAAGGTGGGAAACTTCTCCTTTGTGTCCTTAACTCTGCTTGCTATAGAGTTCACCTTTGTCCCTTTGCTTTCCTTATCAATTTTCTACAATTCCTAGCTTCTGATTTATATTCATCACTTGCAGTTTCCCCATCTCCCACACACAGTTCCCAATTATCATTCAGATTTTTTGATTGAATTCTTTCTCCACACTGATTTGGCTCATAATTATTTTGAGCTTTGTGAAATTGGGACTTTTAAAGCACCTAAGATACATATTACTGGTTTGGACTGTGTTCTCTTTGCACATTACAAATCTGATCAAGTCATAATCATTTTTACCTAAGCTACCATTAATTTTTAGTTCTGAGATCAATTCCTCTTTATCTCTCAAGACTAGGTCTAATATAGAATTCCCCTGTGTTGGTTGCAACACTTTTTGTGTTAGGAAATTGAAATATCTCATAATGCTCTGTAAAACCTCATTTCAGCTATAACAGAATTAGGCAGACTATGGAGTTGAAGATCTGAAGGACACTCATTTCTTGTTTGTCTCCATGCAACCACTGGGAAACAAGGCAAAGATTTCCAAAGCTATTAGCGACTATCTGTCTACACTTCCCTGCATTTTAAGATGTTTCTGCATTAAGTCCTATTAGCATGATTTATGCAGCTGTAATTAAAAGCATTTGATGCCCAGATTGCAGGTACAACAGTAACACTTCCCACAACTGCTAAGGTGAGAAAAAGATGGTTTTATCACAATACAAGCTTCTCTCACACAGCTCCACCAATGGACCTCCTTTATCAGCTAGAACAGCCTCTTGCTGATATATTTCCACATTCACCAGCCTCCAGCAAGCTCTGTCACCGTACCTCAATCCTGACAAAAAATAACCTCTGCTATCCTATTCTTGGGCCTTCCTTCTCCAGTATCTCTACCAGTGCATCTCAGATCTTGACTGGCAGCAACCCTGCTATTACAGTCATGCTCCCCTAATTCTGGCATTTGTTTCTAGCTCCTCATTCTTTAGCTGCAATACCCTTTGCAGTTCTAATGTCGGATCTCCCACAAAGCTTTGCTAGTTCACCCTAACCTTACAATGCAACATATGTGCTCCTTCAGTCTAGCATGTCTCAGACACAAAAGGCAGGTCATGGCAAATTGTAGGATAATTTTATGACAGTGACAAATGTTCACCAAGACGAGATAAGTAGCTGGCTTTGGTTTTGGACAGAGGGCAAGTCTGAACCTAACCCTCCAGAAGTGAAAGGCTAATGCTTGATGAACTTATTCTGTTAGTCTTCTCTTATTTCTTTTAGGTTAAAATAATTTTTAAAATGCCCAAACAGAAAGTTAAGAATTAATTAGATTTGAGATTTTAAGTAATACCATACAGCAGCAAAAAAATCATATACAAATAATTAATTAGCCCAGCCAGGCTAATCAAAGCTACAGAACAACCCTTCCCTAACCCACTCAAATGTTCCCCAAAATGCTGTAAAATACATTTCTTTTGCAGCATGCCAAGAAAGTCATCAAGTTTGGGCTGTTTTGTATTAATGCAGGAACCAAGTTCCAGAGTTCCAGAACTCTCACAGAGGATACCCTGCGGGCAGCACCCTCTCTTTCAGTGGTATCCGGTAATAGTACTGCATCTTTAAGAGTTCAAGAAGCAGTGGATAATTTTTAGGAAGTTAGCTGGACAAGTACCTTTTGTGGTATTGTAAGCTCTCAATGGTCCTACATTTCCTTTGGGGCTGATTCTCTACTTCCCTGCATCTTGTGTAAAAAGGCCCTTTTGGTTTTCTTTCATAACATTTGAGGATAAGGTTGGTGGTAACTTTCTCCTCTCAACCACTCCTGAAGAATCTCCTGTGCTTGAGCATTATAGCTGAATTCACTAATACTTTGACTCAACAAAGGCACAGGAACTCTCAGAAATGTGGAATTTTACTGCGTTGCCTTTGGCCATAGGGTTTTCAATGGTTTGGCAGCAGGGTGACCAGATCACAACAGTAAAATATCGAGACACATTGGGGTGCCTTCAGCCCCAACCACAGTCCACCCCCACTCCTCCCAGGTTCCGCCTCAACTCTGCCCCAGGTTCTGCACCCTCTCTGCTTGCCCCACCCCCACACCCTTCCGCATCCCCCGGCCCACCGCTGGCTTGCTGTGTCCCTCCTCAGTCCCCCACCCACCGCTCGCCTCTTCACAGCACCTGCCCACCACTCGCTTGCCACTCGCCTTTTCACACCCCCCCCCCAACACTCACCCCTACGGTGCCGACTTCCCCTCCGCCCAGTGGGTGCTCATCCAGTCCCCCGCCCTTCCTGCCCCTGCACTGCCCTCACCCCACCCCATTCCACCCCTTTCCCCCAAGTCCCCGACCCTGCCCTGCCTTTCCCCCAAGTCTTCTCCGCCTCCTCCCCTGAGCGCGCCACGTCCCCCGCTCCTCCCCCTTCCTCCCAGAAAGTCCTAATTGCTGCCAAACAGCTGTTAGGCAGCAGGAAGCACTGGGAGGGAGGGATAGCACGGGGATGCAGTGCGCTGGGGGGAGGGAAGAAGGAGGCGAGGAGTGGGGAGCTTGGCTGCAATTTTTCCCCATGGGTGCTCCAGCCCCGGAGCACCCACAGAGTCGGCGCCTCCCTCCCCCTCACCTCGTTACCTGAATATCAGGACAAATGGCATCCCGATCGTACATTGATCAGGACGCAGGACAAAAGGTTAAATATCAGGACAGTCCCAATTTTATGAGGACACCTGGTCACCCTATTTGGCAATGAGTGTAAAATGGTACTGAGAATTTCCATAGTTTGTACCTTTAAGCTCAGACTTTACCAGGAATTTGAGGATCTTACTGTAATACTACGACTTTTCTGATTTACCAAAAATCAGCCAGTATAAATTCCTTTGTTTTTCCCAGTACACCATTAGCTCAGTAGTTCTTATCATTCTGTTCTCCACCATTTTCTTTTTGGAAAGACAGACCAGCTGAAACACTGCAGTGCAAATTAAAATAATGATAGCAATGAAGCCTTAGATTTAAAATAAAAATGAAGGATCTGTATGTATCTCCACTGAATGCTTCCGATGAAGTGAGCTGTAGCTCACGAAAGCTTATGCTCAAATAAATTTGTTAGTCTCTAAGGTGCCACAAGTACTCCTTTTCTTTTTGTGGATACAGACTAACATGGCTGCTACTCTGGGATCTGTATGTGGTTCACAAAAATGTTTGACAAATTTTTGATGTCTCCTTCTGTTGATAGGAACCCTGATGGAGATGTCAGCCCCTGGTGCTACATTGCAGAGTGTGAGGATGGAGTGTATTGGAAATACTGTGAGATTCCATCTTGCCGAAGTAAGAGAAAACATTATTCCACGCCTGATTTACTCTTCTGTAGAGACTGACTGTCACGTGACAGTGGGTGATGGTTTAGTGACATTCATTAATGGGAACTAGAATAAAATCAAACAGCTTTTTTTATCCACTTGTGACCTAAGCAAAATTTTTAATGCTGTTCTGCAGAGCTAAAGGCAAACTCATTGTACCCGTCATACCCCATCCACAGTCATAACTGCTGAATTATGTTATTTAAAGTAAAATACAGTAAAGGGATTAGCTCCAAATTTATGAAGTGTTGCTAGTTTCCTATAAATGTAGAAATGTTTGTTTATTAAAAATAAATAGTGAATAAATAATAAATAGGAAACTATTCAAGTTCAAAAAACAAAAACAAAACAATTAAAAAAACAGCTGTTCGTTATCACATTCCTTAATGTAGTGTACTTATCTTAGAGAAAGTTTTTCCATAGTGCCTATCAACACAGGCCAAAATTTTTCATACCTAAGTGCCTAAAGTTATGTAGCTAAATTTTCAAAACTCTCTGGCTAAATTATGAATTGAAATCCCTTAGATGCTAACAGGTATTTACAGCCAAATCCTTAGGCACCAATCCTGCATTTATGGCTTAACTTTACATGTGAGCAATCTCACTGATTTCAAGGGGACTACTTATGTGTGTATGTTAAGCATGTGCATTTTGTATTTGCAGGCTCAGAGCCTTTGTCCTTACTCAGACACACTTCCAGTTTAAAAACTAAGTGAGTACAATATGATTTGGATTTTGCTCACCACTACTTCTTATAGGTATGTAAACAAGAGGATTGTACATGCAGGTTAGACAACTAAATTTAAAAATTTGCCCTTAAGGCAAAAGGGCATTTTTATTTAGGTGACTCAGTGTGGATTGAGGAGTCTAACTTCAGAAATGCAGGAATGAAAGTTTTCGTGTTAGTTTCTAGTTTAGAACCACAATGTATGATCCATTGTGGATTTTACTCATCACCTATCCAAGATACCAGAAGCTCTTCCATTTCTGAATGTCAGGGTACTTTCTTGATTTAAAGAGGGGCATCTGTGTTTTCTTTAAAGCCCACAGATCCTAGCAAATTATCTGGATTTGGCTCTAATAAAAAATAAATTGAAAAACAAATTTTCTGCCCATTTGTTCCACACATAAATCCTTTCAGTACTAGACCCAGTAATTTTCCCTGTGGTGGGGAACAGAGGATTTAAATTTGGACATTTTTATTTGCACAGATAATCCCAGATTTACGTTTACAAAATGTCCTTTTGACCAGTAGTAGCTGCTTCAAGCATTGCATTGAAACCAGATACTAGAAAAAGGAATTGCAGCAATTTTAGAACAAACCATACATTGCAAGCCCCTCCAAGTCTTAATGCAAACCTTATGATTGTGCAGTTGTTTAAGGCAGAAGAGCTTGTTTCTTCCCTCCTTCTTCTATTTCCAGCAGGCCTGAAGATAAGTCTCAGGCACACTGTAACTAGATTTGAAAAATACACCATCAGGATTTGGGTACCTTGGTGGAGGGATAGAGAGATTGGGTGTGGAAATTCTTATTGATTATTCAATTTTTAGAAAATTAATGAGTCTGTGTTTTAAGCAGCCATCTGTGTATCTGTATTCAATGCCTGATGAGACAAAGAATTTCTGGTACTGTGACTTAACATAGCTTAGGACAAGTGAATACAGGCAACATCAAGCCTTGGTAATTGCTTGGAGGGACTTGTGTAGTATTACTCCCATTTACAGATCACTATAACTAATTCAAAATCTATTGTTACAGTGTTTTCATGGAGATAATTACACAATATTTCAAGCCCAACAATATTTATGGCTAGTACTATGTGTCATGGAGAAGTATGTATTGATATGGTGCATTCATAAGTATGCTATATAGAAGCAGCACTATTAAATGGGAATAAAAGCTTATAGTCAAAAATGGCAGTAGTGATGGTTCCAGAGTGTGCCTGGTCTCTCTTTCTCTCTATCCCCCACCTCTTCATTATGGCATGAACTTGTGAGAGGCTTGGAAATTGGTGTGATTAATTCAAAGGAGAAAAAGGCAAATGTCAGCATTAAAGGACTGCTCAAGCTCCTCCCTGCTGAGAATAGCCCACCTTAATTAATTCGTCTTGTTACAGTTGGTATGGCAACACCCATTTTTTCATGTTCTCTGTGTATATATATCTTCCTACTGTATTTTCCACTGCATGCATCTGATGAAGTGGGTTTTAGCCCACAAAAGCTTATGCCCAAGTAAATCTGTGAGTCTCTAAGGTGCCACAAGTACTCCTCATTTTTTTTTGCTGATACAGACTAACACGGCTACCACTCTGAAACCTGTCAAGGAAGGACAGGTTCTTGTCATATGGAGAAGACCTGAGAGAAGACAGTAACTGCTTCTAAATCCTTCAGACAATATGCTTTGAAGTGGCAGTAGCTTGGTGGTGTTTCTTTCTCCTTGGTAATAGGATTACTATGAAATTCAAGAGAGAGACCAAATTACAGCAGATCACACTAGTTAACCAAAACAGGGTCACCTCAGTCCATCCCTCCAAATCGTCTCACCAAATGTATGAGGTTGCTGAAGGAAGCATGTGGATGGCATGGCAGCTTTTCTCATCTCAGTTTCATTTCATTGGTGGAAATGTAATTCCTCGGTGTGTGTAACATAGTCGAACACAGAAATTGGCAGAGTGGTGAATAATGATGGGACAGGTCAGTTATATAGACAGATATGGATCACTTGGTATGATGGGCTCATTTGAACAACGTGCATTTTAACACTGCAACATCTAAGAACAAAGAATGTAGGCCACACTTACAAGATGGGAGACAGTATACTGTAAGGCACTGACACTGAAAAGGAGCACTCAGAGAAGACAAGGCCATTGTGGAGAAGCTAAATGGATTACTTGCATTGGTCTTCACTGCAGAGGATGTGAGGGAGACTTCCACACCTGAGCCATTCTTTTTAGGTGAGAAATTTGAGGAAGCAAATACCCAGATTGAGGTATCAGTAGAGGAAGCTTTGGAGCAAATTGATAAATTAAACAGTAATAAGTCACCAGGACCAGATGGTCTTCTCTCAGGAGTTCTAGTGGAACTCAAATATGAAATTGCAGCACTACTAACTGTGGTTTGTAACCTATCACTTAAATCAGCCTCGGTACCAGATGACTGGAGGATAGCTAATGTGATGCTAATTTTTAAAATGAGCTCCAGAGGTGATCCCAGGAATTGCTGGCCAGTAAGCCTGACTTCAGTAACTGGCAAACTGGTTGAAACTATAGTAAAGAACAGAATTATCAGACACATAGATGAACACATTTTGTTGGGACACAGTCGACACAGCTGTATTATAGAATCATAAAATATCAGGGTTGGAAGAGACCTCAGGAGGTCATCTAGTCCAACCCCCTGCTCAAAGCAGGACCAATCTCCAGCTAAATCAACCCAGCCAGGGCTTTGTCAAGCCTGACCTTAAAAACCTCAGAGGAAGGAGATTCCACCACCTCCCTAGGTAACCCATTCCAGCGCTTCCCCACCCTCCTAATGAAAAAGTTTTTCCTAATATCCAACCTAAACCTCCCCCACTGCAACTTGAGACCATTACTCCTCGTTCTGTCATCAGCTACCACTGAGAACAGTCTAGATCCATCCTCTTTGGAACCCCCTTTCAGGTAGTTGAAAGCAGCTATCAAATCCTCCCTCACTTTTCTCTTCCGCAGACTAAACAATCCCAGTTCCCTCAGCCTCTTCTCATAAGTCATGTGCTCCAGTCCTCTAATCATTTTTGTTGCCCTCTGCTGGATGCTTTCCCACATCCTTCTTGTAGTGTGGGGTCCAAAACTGGACACTGTACTCCAGATGAGGCCTCACCAATGTCGAATAGAGGGGAATGATCATGTCCCTCGATCTGCTGGCAATGCTCCTACTTATACAGCCCAAAATGATGTTAACCTTCTTGGCAACAAGGGCACATTGTTGACTCATATCCAGCTTCTCACCCACTGTAACCCCTAGGTCCTTTTCTGCAGAACTGCTGCCGAGCCATTCGGTCCCTAGTCTGTAGCTAGGGTGACCAGATAGCAAGCGTGAAAAATTGGGATTGGGGTGGGGGTAATAGGTGCTTATGTAAGAAAAAGCTCCAAAAATTGGGACTGTCCGTATAAAATTGGGACATCTGGTCACCCTATCTGTAGCAGTGCGTGGGATTCTTCCATCCTAAGTGCAGGACTCTGCACTTGTCCTCGTTGAACCTCATCAGATTTCTTTTGGCCCAATCCTCCAATTTGTCTAGGTCCCTCTGTATCTTATCCCTACCCTATAATAGGGTATCCTATCCCTATAACAGGGTTCAAAAAAGAATTAGGTAAGTTCATGCATGATAGGTTCCTCAATGGCGATTAGACAAGATGGTCAGGGAATGCAACCCCATACTCTGGGTGTCCCGAAGCCTCTGATTGCCAGATGCTGGGATTGAATGACAGGGGGTGGATCATTTGATAATTGCCCTATTTTGTTCATTCCATCTGAAGCATCTGGCATTGGCCACTCTCAGAAGACAGGATACTGGGTTGGATGCTAAGTTCCCCATGCAGCTGCCTATTAAGTGCTGTGCAGGCGCTCAGGACTGCGGCAGGGAGAGATGCCTCTCCCCAAGCTCCAGACCTGCCACAGTGCCGCTCTCCCCAGCCCCAACCTAGCTCAGCCCTGAACCTGCCTCGGCCAGGGGACAGCCACCCCTCCCCCAGCCCTGACCCAGCCCAGCTCCGAACCTGCTGTGGCCAGGGGACAGGCACCCCTACCCTGACCCAGCCCAGCACCAAACGTTCCGCAACGGGGAGAGGGGCCTCACTCCCCAGCCCAGGTGCTGCTGTGGGGAGAGAGAGCTGGGGAGGAGTCCTCTCGCCCCACCGTAGCCCCAGGGAGCTCCACTGCATCTCATACCCCTCATCCCCAGCCCCACCCCAGAGCCCACACCCCCCA